TAACAATGATTATGAAACTATGATACTATGATAGTTAGTTTTGGAACTTGTGACTTGAAGCTTTATACTGTTAAATTCCTTTTTATTTGTTTGCTCATTTTTCTCGTACGTTTCTCTCGTTTGTTTTTGCTACGGCATGTACTTACTGTTTTTCATAAAGGAAAAAGACATTGTGAATGTTTCTGTGAAGGGTTACATGAGAAAAGAAGAGACAGAAGAGAAAGCTAGAATAGAGAGGGAGGAGCAAGAGCGCAACTCACCTTAGATGTTTAGTTAAAAGCTCTGTCCAAGGCGGGTATGTTTAAAGGAAAATAACAAAACCAAGAAAAAAAAAAAAAGGACAAAAATATGATTTGGGCTGAAGTCTTTACCAAAAATGTGATGTTAAACCAAAGGAGGAATAACCTTTTACTCATTGTTAGCTTTCTTCTGCCTTTAATTTGTCTTTTCTCTGAAAAAAAAACAATTTCACAGTTACTTTTGAAGGTTCCTGGGTGTGTTCAAGTGCTCCTGATGTTCTTAGAATATTAAAAACCAGCACCTCCTATTGAAAAGAAGGTGCGCTTTTTTCTTTTGTGCATGGATATTGTATAACTGTATAGAAACCAACAGGAATGACCTGTGATTTTGTGGGGAGAGGAGGAGAATGGAAAGACTTGGGAGTGGGTGGAGAAGGGGAGGGTGATATTTTGGTTATCAAAACAAAAAAAAAGGGGTGGGAGGATTTGGGTTTTAGGCGTTGGAGGGGTCCTTGTTTTTAGAATTTCCGTCACTGTTGGATTCACTGGTTGTGTGCATGTGTTGTTGCAACCCTTTCCCCATGTTTTTTTGATGTATATAAATCCAGACAGTAGGGGGCAGTGTGTGCTGGGGGAGGTCAAACTCCTCTCCTCCCAATCAATAGCATTCAATCTTCATTCCTCAGCTTGTGGTCCTCACTCGGGTCCTGAAATGTGTGTCTTGCTTTTCCAAAGACGGGCTGTTTACTTGGAGTTAATCAGAGGGACACACACAGGCCCGAGCGGCCTTGAATAACCTGTATGTCTGTCTACATGCTTTTCTTCAATCTGTGTATGTGTGTTCATTTGTACTGATGTGGAAGACAAAGTGTTTCTTTTTTATGTTCCTTTCCTATGGGTTGCAATATTTGTCATGCGAAAATTTGAAAACCATTTCTTACTGACTGACCGACCAACCAACCAACCAACCAACCAACCGCAGTACCATTTGGCAACTGATGATCCAACCCCGAAATGTCGCCCAGCATTTACTGTCAAACAGCATATGTGTGTGTCGTTTCACCGTGGGATCGAGTGTTGCCAATGGGACTGATGTAGACACCCCCAGTCACACTGTGCTCTCCCTCTTCTGTTACCTGTTAATCAATCAGAACCAAGTGTCTTTGTGATGGTAGAAGACAATCAGTTTCAAAACAAGAAAAAAGGTAGAGAGAGGGCAGGCCAGTGGGGAGGAGGAGGAAGGGGAGGACGGAAGAATGAAACCAAGGGAAAAGAGGCTCTCTGAATCCTGACGAGCTGTAGTGGCCGACTGCCAAACGACTGCCCCATCGCACCCGCAAAACATCCACCTTCCATCACATCAAACTTGACCTAACTCAAAACTCATAAGACATTTTGAAATTCACTCCCTCCTCATCCCCTGTCACTTTTCACCCTCCTGCCACAATGTAGTGCACTGCAGGAGTAGAGAACAACAGCTGTGGTGCAGAGGCACACTTCCATCACCCGCCACGACTTCCTGCTAATCTAATGATGATGTAATCAGCCGCGAGGAATACAAATGGCTCCGGTTGGTGGCTTTTGCACAGAGAACTATGCAAACACCTGACCCCCCCAATCTTAATCGTTGCTGCTGGGTCAGAGTGTACAACCCCTCCCCTTGACATTTCAACACTCCCCCTCACACTTTGACCTCCATAACCCCCATTCCACCACACTGATGTCACACAGCTTTACATAAATGCCCCCAAACTGCCATTAACATCAAAATGGAGTCCATGTTGATGTTTGCAAGCTTCCCCGCTCATGGCTCCATTGTTCTACAATGTTCGACTGTCTTTGTCCCCAGCGCCAAGGAAGGGCCACAATCAATGCAAAGACTCTTACATTGTACTTACTTAAGTTTACAAAGTCGTCTGGAGACGGTGGCTTATATTGCACTCAGAGCGACAGACACACAAACAGACACATGCTGGAGAGGGTGAGTCTGCCTTTTGAGAGTGTTTGCTGAAACCAAAGATGAAATCAGAGGTATGACAATCTGGCTATCAAACCTAGACAATGTTCAGCTGTACGGGTCCTGTGATTTACCGGCAACAAGGACATTCCACCTATTGCACTTAAACTCACACATATACATATACACACACACACACACACACACACACACACACACACACACACACACACACACACACACACACTTCCACCCACACAGAAACAAGGGATAAACCCACTCACAACGTCTGGTCAGAAAGCCTCTTTTCCCTCCTCCCACTGCAGAAGCCGGAGAGCCTGTGGAGGACTTTTAGTTTCACTCTAGTTGAGACTTTTGTGAAGGAAAAAAATCTGAGTAATAACTGTTACAGAAAAATAAAAACTTAAAAGGATAATATGGGTAAAAATTGCGTGTTTTGAAATAAATTAACAAATAAAAACAATTGTAAAACAAAAGCAGTGCTGTCGGTTTATTGTGTTTGGTTTGATCTTCAAAGGAAGTCCCCTGTGGCCCCCGCGGATGGAAATGAGATTTTTTACCACAACAATAACAAAGAGGAGATATTCATGCAGAGGTAAACTGTCTAGTAAAGACAATAGACAAAACGTATTGTACATCATGTATTTTGTATATTAAATTGTTTACTTTATTGCAAAATGATAGCTTTACGAAAGATCAGTGCAGGCTCTACAGAGTTGCCTGTTTTAAGTAGAAAAACACAATCTTTTCAATAATATGTTGCTCTAAGAATATACAGTTGCAAGAAAAAGTATGTGAACCCTTTGGAATTACCTGGATTTCTGCATAAGTTGGTCATAAAATGTGTTCTGATCTGCACGTTTAAAGTTTGCAAAAGAGCACCTGGATGTTCCAAAATATTCTGTGGACAGATGAAACCAAAGATGAGTTGTTTGGAAGGAACACACAACGTTATGTGTGGAGAAAAAAAGGCACAGCACACCAACATCAAAACCTCATCTCAACTGTGAAGTATGGTGGAGGGAGCATCATGGTTTGGGGCTGCTTTGCTGCCTCAGGGCCTGGACAGATTGCCATCATCGACGGAAAAATGAATTCTCAAGTTTATCAAGACATTTTGCTGGAGAACTTAAGGCCATCTGTCCACCAATTGAAGCTCAACAGAAGATGGGTGATGAAACAGGATAACGACCCAAAGCACAGAAGTAAATCAACAACAGAATGGCTTCAACAGAAATGGTAAATGGACTGTACTTATATAGCGCTTTATCCAGTCTTTAAGACCCCTCAAAGCGCTTTACATACTACATGTCATTCACCCATTCACACCCATTCATACAGAGCAGTGTACCTTACTCTAGGACCTAACATTCACACACATTCACACACCGTTGGCCATGCCATCGGGAGCAACTCAGGGTTAAGTATCTTGCCCAAGGATACATCGACATGTTGACTGCATGGGCTGGGATCGAACCCACAACCTTCTGGTTGAAAGTCGACCACACTTCCTCACAGCCACAGTCGCCCCATTACACTTCGAGCTACACATCTCTCATCAGGTTTCTTCTGATTATATAGTAATCGGTGAATATTCCCCCCCCGCATTGGAGAGTTCTTTAGCTTCTGTAGCTGTGAAGCGACATATTGCCAGCACCACAGGCTGATTGTTTAGGTTAATGCGTCCTCACGTGGCAAAATATTTTGTCGAGCAGTCTGTTGAGTGTGGACTTGAGACCGCAAGCAAAACCTGCAGGGTGCTCAGCTAATTGCCTGCGCGAGAGAATAGCGCTCCCAAGCTCTCAAAGTGTTATCATTTCTGATGTGCGCAAATTGGAGTTGTAACGCAGTGACAAGCAGAGTAGTGGGAAAGCTCACTATACTGTCAAAGCTTTGAAGTTGATAGATGGGGAAAGGGAACACAGTAAACAGAGACACACAACACACCACTCACAGCTTGTCTGGATATGTCTTGCTGCTGCTGTCTCTATGGAATCTAAAAAACAGTTGGACACGCACCCACAACCACACAACCACGACACACCACAACACACACACGACCCACACACACACACAGCACACAACACACAATGGTGCGATCGAAACATATAACGTGTGAATATGGTGCGATGAGGCAATTGATGTTGAATGTGTGTTGCTGAAGGGCTGACTAACACTACTTTACTACAATACAATACAAATGGGAGCTTTATTGGTTATCCTCACCTATGTTAAGGGGTTTGTGACAATATTTCAATTCACTACAACTCTTTTCATGCCTTCTATTATTAATACTCTATTGGTTANTGTGGCATGACCTCAAGAGAGCGATTCACACCAGACATCCCAAGAATATTGCTGAACTGAAACAGTTTTGTAAAGAGGAATGGTCCAAAATTCCTCCTGACCATTGTGCAGGTCTGATATGCAACTATAGGAAACGTTTGGTTGAGGTTATTGCTGCCAAAGGAGGGTCAACCAGTTATTAAATCCAAGGGTTCACATACTTTTTCCACCCTGCACTGTGAATGTTTACATGGTGTGTTCAATAAAAACATAAAAACATATCATTGTTTGTGTGGTTTTAGCTTAAGCAGACTGTGTTTGTCTATTGTTGTGACTTAGATGAAGATCAGAACACATTTTATGACCAATTCTTGCAGAAATCCAGGTAGTTCCAAAGGGTTCACATACTTTTTCTTGCAACTGTATATGATCCAATATTGTCCCATATCAAAACCCCTAAATGTACCATTGTCATTATTCATGCATGATTTGGTGCATCACTTGTTCTTCATGTTGATCTGGAGCTGTGAGTCAGTGGGGTTATTATCTGCGGTCACCTGCTCATCCACCGTCGGCACGGTGCTGCGGATGCAGGTTCCTGAAGAGATGAGGCGCCCGGGCCCGGCCCCCTGGGAGAGGGCGTACGACGAGCGGCGGAGAGAAGCTCCTCTTCTCAACCTCGACCTCAGCTCCACCGGCTGAGAGGACGCGCTGTGGACCTGCAGCACAGCCAGGTGAGAGAGACATTAATCAGCTTTACAACTGCTTCTGCTTTGTGTTTATAAGGAATCAATACCTAGGCGAATGGCAAACAACTCACCCCATCGCATATAAAAGACGCTAAGATTGGTAGCACGCTTACAGGTCCAAAATAACATAAAATGAGAATCAGATTTAAATCATATCGAGTTGGTCCTCAAGTCAAGCAGATATCGTTTTAAACTTGCTGTTAACTTGTCTTGTTGAAAAACAGTAGGATCGACACAACTATACAAATAATCAGAGCAAAATATTACATAACCATAATTATAAACTAGTCTCAACGCTTTATTTTATACCATATTGTTAAGAAATAAATCACAAGAAACTAGAATAAAAAATATGAATGAATAAAAGACATGTACAGGAGCTTGATTGCTGTGACATCATATCAATTGGATAATTTTTGCATTGCATCCTTGTTTCTAAATTACATTTCTTCTTTTCGTGCAGTCTCACCTTGTGTTTGTCGTGCATGTTAAAGATGACATTGATAGCCAGAGCGGTCATTGAGGGTAAAACAGCCGTCCAGGTGGTGAGCAGAGCTGTGAGCCACACCAGTGGATCAATGAAGGCCCTATTAGACGCTCCTGATGAAAAGCACACACAGAGCAATCAAACCAGCTCACAGGGGTGGTTACACATCATCAGATCAACATTTTGACTATAATAGCATTTTTAACTGTGTTTGGATGTATGTTTTGTCCAACAATTGTTTTTATATTATTTGACCCCAAGAGTGCAGAAGTTCATGCTGTAATGGGTGTAACAAAAAAACACAGCTTGGAGTAACATCGCTCAACCGACAGAAATGAATGGAGTAAGCTTGCGGTGAGATGAGGAGAAGTGTACCGAGAAAGAAATAGTCCCCGGGTGAAGCTTTAAACAGACTGGTGCTGTGGGTGATCCTGGAACAGATGAAGAACATCACCACAGAGACACACACCGCTGCCACGTTCAACCTGGTCCAGTATCTGGTGACCAGAGAAATCTAAAAACACAAACAGAAATATTGCCATCTTGATATACAGCCTTCCTCCTCACGCTCTGTTCCCAAAGAGTCCCCAACTAGCCGTAAGATTTCTCTAATGACCACCACATTTGGAAACTTCCCCAGCCTGCTTCAAATATGTGTATGCCTATAATCTATGGTGGTTGGATACAGTAAGCGATGACAATGATAAGCTGCGCTCCTGCACCACACACGAAATTGTCTTCCAGCAGCAGTTGGCAATGCGTGTTCAAGTGTTTGTTGCTTTGCATGTAGGCCTGAAGGACAAGCTGTTTGTATGCTACTAACTACTCTGCCTGTTCTCTCCAAAGTTGCCTACACCAACTTTTAATAAAGCTTCGTTTTCTCATGAGTTCAAGGACTAAGCAATTGATCATTCATCACAATTTCATCATTCAATTTTGGCAACTGCAGCTGAAGTTAATAAAGTAGATTCCATAATTTCTAAATGAACAAATATATCAATTAAGTTCTCTTTTCTACATTTGATCAAATGAGACTCACAAGACAATATTAGTCAGGCACAACAAATTGTTTGTAATTTAGTTTCAGTTTATAATGTTTAATACACAGACACCATCTTGTGTTTTACTGCATTTAAATGTAAAATGGAGAAAAAGCTCCGTAGAGAAAGATGTATTTATTGCATATGAACTAAAAAACATCCAATTTCACATAATATGTAATGTCATTGAGGGTGCAGAGATGGTGGATTGTGCAGCAATAATAATATTTTATAGCATTCCCCCTGTGTTTTCACAATATATTTTTGTATAACATGTTTTAAATTATGATTAAATCTTCCTGTGGTTCACTTGCATCCATACAAAATTTGATCATTACCTCAACGTTGGCAGTGAACGTTGCTGCCATGGCGACAGTCACTGCCATGGTCTGGAAGTCATAAGCTGTGTTGTGAAAAACTCCAAAAGGGATGAAGAAGAAGACGAGAGAAGAGTAGACAGCATAGAGGAGCGATGAGATGAGAATGAGAGGGCTGGAGAGCTCCTGTCTCTGTCCCGACCGGTACAGCTCAGGCCACTTCAGGCTGCTCTCTGCATTCACATCCTACAACAGAAAGAGGGAGGATGAAGCTTTATGACTTACATTTGAGGTATTTCAATGATTTCCAATATTACAATCACAATTCATGATTTAAAATATAGGATAAATGATAAACTGTCAGAAACTAAGCCATGCTCAATCGGAGTGCAACAAGGCTCAATTCTTGGACCGCTGTTGTTCAGCATATATATTAATGATCTCCCATCTGTTTGTGAGGATGTGGACGTCCAGATGTATGCTGACGACACAGTGGTTTACACTCATGGGAAAGATGCTGAACAGGTTGCCTCTAAGCTCTCGTCGACGCTGCACAAAGTTGCTCATTGGTTAAATGACTCGTGTCTTACTTTAAACACGAACAAAACAGTGACAATGTATTTCACGAATAAGAAAAAAACAACCACGCATCCACAGCTTCGTGTGAATGGTAAAATAATTGAAAACGTCAATGAGGTCAAATACTTGGGAGTGATCTTGGATGCCAATTTGACTTTTGAAAGCCATATTAGAAGCATGACTAGAAAGCTGAAATATAACATTTTCAAATTTAAACATATTAGGAACTCATTAACCATAGAAGCATCGAAAACCTTTTTGCATGCCATGATACTATCACATTTTCACTACTGTGTAACCTGCTGGTCCCAAGCAACTAAGACTGCTATGAGACCACTTGAGGTTCTTTATAAACAAGCCTTAAAAGTTATGGATAGAAAGTCATTACAACACCATCATTGCAATATACTGTCCAAATACAAACTTTTCAGTTTTGATAGTCTTGTTCTACTTTCCCGAGTTCGATTGGTATTCAGAATCATTCACAATTCTACAACACCACCGTTGAGGGGCTTTTTTCAGTTTCGCCGTGAGCAGAGTTGCAGAAACTCCAGATCTTCATCAAATGAAGATCTAACCTTCCCTCTGAGGCGCACTGCCTTTGGACGATCAGCATTTTCGTTTACGGCCATCAAGCACTGGAATACTCTTCCAGTTGAACTTAAAACCTGTACTGATTTTAACTTGTTTTCCTATGGTTCCTATGGTTCCTATGGTGCAAAAAAAAATGATATTAAGCAACCAGTCATGCCAACATTAATTAAACTGTAATCTGAGTTTTTTTTTCTATATCTTAGATATTTTATTTAAGTGTATTTGAAGTGTACTAAGTATTATGTTCGTAACCTGTATTTAAATCAAGCTTTGTAATTATTTGAGTGACCGAGATCATGTAAGTGTATTTCAAGTGTACTATGTATTAATTTATTGAGCTGTACTTAAATCAGGTTTTATAGAGATCATGCAATGTTATTATTTGCTTATTGATTGTTATGAACCTGTCTGAGGACCACAGATGGAAATGAGCTATTAGCTATAATCTGGCATATTGCATCTCTTCTCTTTGCTGAGATTAATGTTTTTGTATGCATGGTCCTTCTATAAATAAATACAAAAATACATTTGTTCTGGGAATGTCATTTTCGAGCCTGAGGGGCTCGGGGCTCAACTGGTTAATTTAATGATCTCAAATAGGCCTTTCATATAACACATTTATCTTGTAAATAGTTTTGAAACACTGACAGTATCTTGTCTTCAATTCAATATGAATGGATTTTAAAGTATACGGAAAAAGAACAAGATCAGTGTTTCCATAGTCCTCGTCTACAACAGACAGCCATGCCAATCATTACTAAGTACTTAATCTTATCAGACGTTGTTCACACATCCTTCGGGGAGTTTTGACATGAAACATTTTACAGACCCGCGGGCTAACCTAAAAATAAAGTTTATCACCCTTGTCTTAATAGAAACATGGTTTGCCCATAAACCACAACTACTGGGCATGACCTGTGAGATGTTATTTGACAGGTGGAGTATAATTAAGTCTGATTTAACATGTGTGTTCAGTGAGACATCAGTTGCCACAACAAACTAATGCTTCAGAGGAAGAAACAGTGGGTGTGTGAGTGGGGTTGTGTTGATGATAAAGGTAGATTAAAGGGTGTGTGTATGTTGAGTGTGTGCTGGGGCTTTCCCCTTTATATGTCAAATTACAGCAGGGTGGAAAAAACACATCAACCAACCTTGAACAGGCCACAGTTGTTCCATTAATTCATCATTGTCTGAAGTTGTGTTTATTTAGTGACTCTATGCAAACCTTGACCTTCGTTGTATGGAAAACATCCTTTAACATTAACAAGCAATGCAAATTATGTCAGATGACCTTTCTCCATTGGTGCCCCACAGTTATTAGCTGTTACTCATCTCAGGCGTGTGTCTGTGTGTGTGTGTGTGTGTGTGTGTGTGTGTGTGTGTGTGTGTGTGTGTGTGTGTGTGTGTGTGTTTGTTTGTGTGTGTGCGTGCGTGCATGCGTGACCATGTGCATGGCACACGCTAGGAGGTATTTCATTATGCGGGGTGGTATTTGTGATTGTGTGCTCAGTAGCACGTAAACACTCAGCACAGTTTCAAAGCTGTGGAATTAAAAAAATCTGCAATGCCATCATTGGGTGTTTTTGCTTTTCACTTTCCCACCGGTGACACATTCATTTAATTCACGAATGTGTTGTATTTGGGCATTTTGATATAAGTGTGAATATATTGTGTTGAGAGTGTCTATTTCATTGGGAGTGTTCTCATAACAACAGCAATCCTTATTGCTCATTCCTTCACTTATGGGCATGGGGCCAGCATTGTATTACTGTATGTGTGCATTTTAATTCCATATTCTTAAGGAACAAATGTCTTGACCAGGAAGAGAGAAAAACTGAATGGCAGCATAGTTCAGGAAAGATGTTTATTAAAGAACTCAAGTTAAAACTGGGTTTAGGGTTAGCTGAGCTCTACATAGAACATTAGATTGTTATCATAAAATCGCAGATACAGGGTCCCGCAATGTAGTAAGGTTAGACTGAAGCATTCTTTTATGCACCTGTCAATCCTCAAATGTAATGCAGAATTAAATCCCAGATCAAATTAACGTGAGAGGGTCTTGAGCATGTTTCTCTTCAGTGATTGTGATGTTATGTCAAATGTCTTTTCCCTTGTATCTTGTCTCACATATTTCTCCGTGTTGATGTTGCAAAGGAGCTGCTGTGATGCAAGAAACACTTCAGACTCGATCTGACAATAAGGTATTTTTGTTTTGTAAATAAGGTTTACAGTTCTTTTTAAAAGACGAGTAAGATTAGGCTTCTTTTACATTTTGTTTTATTTGTATATCGATGTTGCATTTTTGGATTTAAGAGATCGAATTTGACTCTCAGATACATTTAAGCCCTTACAAAAATAGAATAACAAAAGTGTGTGTGTGTGTGTGTGTGTGTGTGTGTGTGTGTGTGTGTGTGTGTGTGTGTGTTGTCATGTGTGTCTATATTGATTTGGGATGTGTGCAAGAATACAAAGAGACCCCTGAGAGTGAGGGGTCAACAGCTGCTCCCCAACAACCAATCAATTGCAGAGTATCAGTAAACATTACACACAGACACACACACACACACACACACACACACACACACACACACACACACACACAACACACACACACACACACACACACACACACACACTCACACTCACGGAGACATACAGACGGCACTCTGTTCTCAAAAATCTGTTGCCATGGATACCAGATACAGGCAGCCAAGAGGGAGCAGTTTCCAGCTTAAACTGTAAATATTGAATTATGATGGGGAGGAAAGAGACAGCAATGCAGGGCAACGTTCCTGCCTGAATATTCTAAATATCCAGATAATCCTTTCATCTCTATTCACCGCTACAGGAAATCTGGTGCATCATTCATGTTCATCAAGTTCAACACAAAAAGATCAATCTGTCTTCCCGAATCCAGCCACTTATCTAACTCTCTATTACAGACTGAGCGCTGCCCCCATTCCCTCATCTCTCCCTGCCTTTTTGTCTGGAAGATCTTCACTCCCTTAAGTGGGATGCAAAGTAAATGCCTGATTTGCTATACATAAAAGTGAACCGCATTCAAACCACTTTACCAAACGCTGGAGCTTTCATGTGGATACAGTTCCTCTGTGGATTCATGGATGGGGAGAAAAAATGGGGAGAAAGGAGATTGAGATGAAGAATGTGAAGAGGGAAGAAAAAAAGATTTAACAATTAATAAATGCTTTGGCAAATGTTGCAATAGGGGCTACTGGAGAGAAGGACTGAAAGAGCAAGAGAAGAGATACTCTGAAGGTGAATGTCAATAATTGGTTAACTGTCTAATCTTAGCAGTGGATTCAGCAGAGCTTAAATAATAATAACACACTGATATTCATAACAAAGCACAGCACTTGACTGCACCGGGAAGGAGAGCGGGCGAGAGTCAACGTGCTAACCTTGAGCTGACATTGTGAGCAGCAGAGACTCACGTTCAATCAATAAAGGGCTTTTCTCAGGGAGTCCACTAATCTCACAGGGCAGCAGAGGGTTCATCAGTGCTGAGAGACCCCTGGGACTGACAGAAGTAATGGGGTTAGCAGAGAGGGAGGAAGTGTGTGTGTGTGTGTGTGTGTGTGTGTGTGTGTGTGTGTGTGTGTGTGTGTGTGTGTGTGTGTGTGTGTGTGTGTGTGTGTGTGCAGGAGGATAGATCTTCACCGTGAGTAAGACAGTGAAAGCGTGCAAGGAACAAGCAATTGTGGGTCTGATAGATAGCACGGTCTTGTGTGCTGCAGCTTTCGTGTTACTAAAGTGCATTTGTGTATGTGTGTGTGTGTGTGTCCGAAGGAGCAAGGGCCATGCTGATAGAGTGAGAAGTTAATGGGACGTTTGGCAGGGTTGATTACTGAGGCCTCAGTGATCCGGCTGGGTTAATGAAGCAAATTACTTCTTGGATAACACACTACCGCTGCTATCTGCAGCTCCTGATACACTCTGATGAACCACAATGGCCTTCTCTTCTCCATCATTTACCTTCTTAAAGCCTTCTGCCCTAAGTTGTATCACACACATTCAGTGTACCTGTAAATGATACAATAAGGTACAGTATGGTACAATACGATGGTACGGTAAGGTGCGATACAATAGTATACCACACCATATACTTATTGTCCGTACGGTACGGTACGGTATGGCAGAATGCGATATGATACGATACGATGTGATACGGTACAGCACGTTAAGGTACCATACCATACCATATGGTACCATTTATTGTCCTTGCAAGGACATTGGATTATATCCTGATTTTCAACAGATGATAAAAAAAACATACATACTACATAGTGCTAAATAAAAGACACTAACTTATTAACGCACGACTTTACATATACACAGCTTTTTTTTTGTTGCACTTTTATTGTCATTACACAGTACAGGCACTATGTAATGAAATGCTTTCTCTGCATTTGACCCATCCTAGTGTTAGGAGCAGTGGGCTGCCATTATGAAAGGCACCCGGGGAGCAGTGTAGGGCAGGGGTTCCCAAAGTGGGGGTCGCGAGACCCCGGGTGGGGGTCGCGAGATGATTACAAAATAAAAATGGAAAATTTAAAAAAAAACAATTAAAAAAAAAAATGGATTTAAAAATTTTTTTTTTTTTTTTTTTTATTATTATTAATAATAACGTTTGCATAGACATTTTTTTCTTTGACAATCCACTAGCACAGTGTTTCACAAAGGGGGTCGCCAGTCTCTGGCACACCTCGGCAGCCATTGGTCTTGCCGGGACTTGAACTGGTGACCTTACAGTTGCCAAGCCAAGTCCCTATGGACTTCGCCACCACCCCCAGCTTGCACATACAACACAAAGACAAAACTACTGACAATGGTGACGTATTGCACAAACCTCATGGCCAACATTTACATATATTACCGTTAAGTGTTGAGAAGTTTAATGGACATAGGTAGGAGTGTTTGTAGCACTGCAGCCTGCTCTAGGAAACCCTGAATCTGAATCTCCTCAGGTAAGAGGAGAACTCTTGGTGGAGGATGTGAGTGGGATCAAAAGTGGATGTTTTTATCCCCCATCATTTCTATAGCGGTCTGTACCAGGCGAGCGATCTGTGAGCCCACCACCATGGTTTTGAATCCGTCCTGGGACACATTAATTCAACCTCTACATATAATCTCCAAATGTAATTCCTGAATGTTGACAATCAAATAAGACAAATAAAAAAAGAATAAGGAGGGACCCAGAACCGCAGCACATAGTGTACTGTCTATAAAGTGGCCACCTCCCATTTGCACATGCAGTCACACTTGCATATACAATGCTAGACACACACAAATAAAGGGAGAGAAAGAGTTATCAGAAGACTTTGTTCTCCATTTGGAGCTGAGAGAGATTCTTCTAATGAGAGTGAAAACTACGTCTGAGCGGAAATGCAGACCAGAACAAAACAACAACGCAGATGGGAGCTAAGACAACAACAAAGACAGCCCTAAATGTAGTTGACTGCCGACTCCCTGCTGGCCCTGTCTATGTGCAGAGATGACACTGCGCCCATCCCCCTGCTACTTATAGGGACATTATCATAATGTTGTCTCTGTATGAGCCGAGCTATCAAGTGGGTTCATCTTGAAGTCCTCCACAAGCCCCGGTGTATGCTGATGCCTCAGAGGCTGGAAGAAGACAATGGTGAAAAAAGGAAAAAAATGCAACCCTAATATTTATTCAAACTGACAGTTTTGGCGTCTAACAATGCAGCCCAGGACTGACAGCACCAATTTGATGAATCTCTGCGTTGGTTGTAAACCAATCTAAGCAAAGAAGATAATGGTTGTCCTTCTGTGTGTCCTTCTGCTGTCCTATTTTCCTGTCACTACAGACAATCGAAAGAATAAACGTGAAATGGGTAAAGTGACTCATGTTGGGGACTGTGAGTGGTTGCTGTAAATCACCGTCAGAATAGAGACAGCCTACATTTAGGTTCAATAGGTTTTATATGTCATACTCAGATAAGAAAAAAGCACCAGATTAAGAGTGGAAGCAATTGTTTCTATTAGACACAGGGATAATGAATAATTAGTTCTCAGAAGCAGATATTGTTTGTCGGGGCTTGTGTTAAGATTCACACCTCAAACTTCCACCCTACAACATCCTGTTGTGTTATAGCTGTGCGTGTGTGGTCAGATACAGCTGCAGTCGTGTGTGTTTGTGTGTGTGTGCCTTTATGTGAGAGTCAAAAACAGAAACAAAGAGGAAAACTCCCTGTGACAGCACCACCACTTCCCCTGAGAGTTGATGAGTAAAACGTACAGCAGGTGTCTGATACTGCACTGCTAAACGCTGAATCATTCTCCTTTTCACTGTGTATAAACCTTATCTTTCCGATGTCATGACCTAATAGATGGCATTTCATAACTAAAGGTCAAAAGGCTTGAATTGACTCAATTGTGAAATGGAGCAAATTGACCAACTAAAACAGAAAGAGAAAGTCTAATGTATAGCCAAAATTGTTGGACATCTTTTATAACATTTGATCAAAGCAAGTTAAAGATTTTGACAGTGGGTTTTCCCCCTAAATAGGCCATATCATGCTCTTTTCTATCCGGTTCATACTTCAATTTTGGGTTCCTGCTAGAATATGTTAACATGCAATATCAACAAACACAATATGTTACGATACTCTATAAATACCTGTACTCTGATACGTTGCGTTTTAAACCCCTGACCCACCAAGCTGACAATGTCTGGCCTTTGGTGAGTATCTGCTGGCACTGTTGACACTTTTCTTTCCTGCCGACAAGTTCCAACAGAGATCGTTGCCTGTTTTTTTAAAGTATGTGTACAACAACGGTCAGTACGTCTGCAGTCTAAAGTCTTCCGGTTTTTAAATGCAATAACCAGATGGGGGAAATGTTCAGTATGTTCTAATGAGTATGCATGTGCCAAATCTGATTGGTTTATTGAATCCCATGTTTTCTGACTTTGGCAGCCAACAAAAAACGTACTTATTTTGCAGTTTGTGTGTTGGTAGGAACTACACATACCAAAATGTATGTGCTCAAGTACAAAAGTGAGGTTTTCCTGATATGGCTTCTTTAGGATTTGTCCCTTCATTCAGATATATATATAGATCTTGTTTTCTGCTTTTTATTGTGAAATGCATAGTATGTGGCTGGTGGCTTAAACAAATCTGATTATCAGTTGTCAGTTTAACAGAACGTGTGTTAGGCAGGGTGATGCAAAGAGGAAATTAACTGTAAAAACAATATAAAATCCTCAGGGACCTCCTGAATAGCCTCTTCTTCTCTGTCCTTCAAAGACAACCGGCCAAATATTCAGTGCTTTACAATCATTGTGCAGTGTTGAATGAAGTGGCCACATACAGTACCGCACAAATACACACACACACACACACACACACACACACACACACACACACACACACACACACACACACACACAAAAACACCTGTCCTATATTTGTTGTTTACTGTACATCATGTGAACACTGTCCCATCTGAAGCTGCCTCCAGCAGGATGTGGTGGTGCGGCACGTCCTCGCTCAACAACACCCACTTCCTATGAGTTTGATAAACAGCCCTGCGGTTTCACTAACCTCCTGCCCGTCAAACAGAAGAACACACACACACAGCTCAACAGCATCACCATCTGCTAATTTGACATAAAACCAGAGTGAGTTAGTGTGTAATGTATTCCATACTATCAAAAGATTTACTGGGACAAACTGTATAAACGCCACCAGAATCACTTACGCCTCCATAACTCTGCTGCCGATCTCCTCATCCACAGCCTCGGAGGGAGAGACTGAGGGGAATGAGCACAAGAATGCCCTCAAATCACATCAGAATTACAGGAGGACATCAATATGTCACATTTGTTTTAGAGGGAGTGATGTAAGTGGGTCTGAGTTATGTCCGCCACTGGACAGTTATGTTCCACATTAAGGCTGCCTGTGCATCCCTAAAGGTTGATAATGCAATGCCATTAAAGATGTAGACCTCTGCTAGAGTCTCTTCTCTCCTCTTCTCTTCTCCCCTCTTCTCTGCATGGTTGCATGGGCACACACAGTCCTGTCAGTCACATCTGTGAGCTGTCAGGATGTGAATGTGCATGAGACTGAGGGGTGTATTAGGCATGCTGATCCTTCACACTCCTTCCACAAAATGGAAGTGTGCATGCGTGCGTGCGTGCGTGTGTGCGTGTGTGTGTGTGTGTGTGTGTGAGAGAGGCGGGGAGGGTCAAAGGAGAGGAGCCATGCCTAATCCTGTGGGATGTGAGGGTATCTATTGTGTATGGAGATGGGATGTAGAGATGTGTTCAGTGGTGCATGGATCACAAAACCTTCCTAACTGACAGAAGAGCCTCTCGAGAGGCCAATGTCAAACTGCAAAAAAAAAGCAAGATAAAAAAGGGGCAAACTGTCTTGAACACAACAGTACTGCATATTGCATCATATCTGTGAAATGTTACGGATCTGAGTTGAGATTTTGAATGCCTTTATTCATAGAAATATGGTATAAAAAACTGGCACTGTATTATTGTCAAATAATTTTATATTCTTAGTAGTTTTAGTCATATTTATAGATAGAAACCCTAAACGATATAACCAATACTCCAATTTACAATGATGCATACATTATTTGTAGTTGATATGTTTAGTCTTATTTTATATAGACCCTCTACTAAAATTATTAAAATGATAAAAGTTAAATTATGATTATTTTTTTATTATTTTTTTTAAAATCTTTTTATTTGTTTATGCATGCTTCCTAGTTAACATTTAGCTGTCTTTGGCTCTTTTCGGCTCAAACAAATGTAAATGTCCACTCTTTGGGACGAATAAAGGTATTCTGATTCTGATTATTTCACCATAGCTTAGTTGAATTATAAGTAGTGGTTCAAAGATAAATAAATAGTCATAAAGTGTATGGGTACAAACTGACTTCATAATCTAATACATAAAACGATGGTTTCACAGAATAGAAAATAGAAATTGCCACGAAAGATATTGCCTGTAAACCTCATCAAATCACATAAACCTGCTTTATATTTTGATGTAGTGATGATTTAACCCGGTAGGTGGCGGTGTTGCTCAATATAAAAAGTTATTTAACCCGGAAACAGAACTCGCGGACCTTTAACAAAGCAGGAAGTGGATCTTGATGAAAGTGACAGTTAGGAATCATGGCGCTTGAAGCAAAATCCAGAAACAAACGATACGAGAAACTGGATTTCCTCGGAGAGGGTCAGGTAGGTGGAAACAGATATGAGTGGATTCGGTTTTGAAATCTGTCCACTCTCTTCCAATCCTATCTGGTTGTGTGGAAAGCATGTTAGCATCAAGCGTTAGCCGGTTGTTAATGTCAACAAAGCCTTGCTGCTCCACGCTACTGTGTTCACTACAGCAGCAGTGATGTTGAAAAAACAACACTTTTCTCTACCGTTTTCTCCCTTTCTCTCTTCAACAGTTCGCCACAGTTTACAAAGCCAGGGACAAAACAAACGACTCCATAGTTGCCATTAAAAAGGTACAATAAATAAGCTCAAAATTGGACATTTGTTAGCATGTGTATGCTATGCTGATGTTTAAAACTATGTTGTTGTTTTTTCTGACAGATTAAGGTTGGCCACAGAACTGAGGCTAAAGATGGTAAATGATGACTGCACACATTTAACACTCTCAGTGCTGCCCATTGTCTTCACCCTGTTAATTACTTTTATTTCTGATTAATAGGTATTAATAGGACTGCTCTTCGAGAGATCAAACTGCTGCAGGAACTGCATCATCCAAATATCATTGGGGTGAGTGAACATTTATTATGTCAGAATTCTAATAAAAAAGTTAATGGTGTTTCTTGTAAGGGGGGGAATAATGTACGTTCTATATTTGAACTATTCACCTTATTTGCTGTGTGTTTTTAGCTGCTGGATGCCTTCGGACACAAATCTAACATCAGCCTGGTGTTTGATTTCATGGAAACAGATCTGGAGGTGGGAGGGTTTATCATGTCATTAACAACATCTCTTTCTGTCCATCTGTGTCTTACTAGAGGTAGACCAACATCACATGATACAGTATTATGCAGTCCCATACATATATAATACAGCCCATTGAGTTTATGTATGTAATGTGTTTCAGAGCTGCACCTAACTAATTACTTTAACTATCCATTCATCTACAGATTATCTGCCAGATTTATCAACAGACTTTTTGATCTACACTGTAACTATAATAGTGTCCAAATATATACAAATTGTGAAGAAATGTAAATCCTTGTTTTTCAGTTTCCCTTTAAATGTCTTGTTTTGTCTGACAGTCAAAACATAAAGATAATTTATTAGTGTATCGGAAAGAGAAAATATCAAAAATATCCATGTTTAAGAAATTGGAAACAGCATTTTCTGCAATTTTTTTAATGAAAAATTACTTAAACAATCAATTGATTATCAAAATAATTGTTTATTTTTTCTCAGTGGATCACTGCAGCTCTAATGAGTTGTTTACTGAAACTTTTAATATATTGATCATCGTAAATTGTGTTTCTTGAATGTGTCATAATAAATAACTTGAACTTAACTAAATTCACTGAATAACTTTTGGCAGGAAATATAATGGCAACTTATTGACTCTAACTGCCTATTATTTAATACACCTTAATAACACATTGCAAAATGATGCAATGTTAAATCATTAAGTGAAATCAGCATATATTTTTTTAATTAAATCATATTGTGAAGAAGTATATTATCCTTATTCTTGTTCTATGTACTGTATGGGAATTTACATCTCTCTTTCATGGTTGTAAAAAGAACATTATGTTGCATTTCATTAGTGGGCCACCACATGGTTGACATTTCATTCTTTATTACCTTCCATTTATTAGAGATCAGGGAGAGAGCATTTAAAGCAAAGTGTTTTCTCTTCCCCACTAATATATTTTAAAGGTGTGTGGCAAGTGTCAGTCATTTGTTCAGTACTATGTACAACTTCCACGTTGTGAAATGTCAAGAGTGCAAAAATAAGCGAAAGAATGAAAAATTGTGAAGAGTTGTGAGGTCAGAGTAGCACAGAAAATATGAGCATGACGACGACAATTGGCAGCGTAAGTGCTCTCATGTAACCATTAAGTGCTTCTGCACGGTCACCGAGGCTTTTTTATTTTCCTCCTCTGGTTTTGTTTTAGCATACGAGGCTCCAGATGGGCGCCAACCACCAATACATCAGGCTCTAATAGGAAGATGCAAAACAAGATATATACACTTTAGAAAAAATCAATAACACTCGGCTCTTGGCCCTCAGAATGAATTGATGCCATTAGTGGCTCCAGACAGACAGGGACGTGAAATATGATGCTCATCTGATTATCTGTGCTGAAAGACTATTTTTAGACCAAATGGTTAGATTTGGCTGTAAGGGCTTTTCAAATACAGATATGTGATACCTTTTCAACTAAATTGTCAATAAAATCACGACGCATGATACTCAAATTAGTGTTTTTGGATTCTGGATAAAGGGTTGAATCTATATTGGGCTATTTAGTTTTCATGCAGCTGTGTCCAGTGATATCTGCCAGTTATTTATTGTCTTTTTTACTCCGATACTCTGCTTAGACATGTAAATACAGAAAGTAATGGAAATGGATGAAGATTATTGATCATAACATGTCCGACTTTTCATAAGCCTCTTTGTTTTTGTTTTTAGGTAATCATCAAAGACACCAGCCTAGTGTTGACTCCTGCCAACATCAAAGCCTACATCCTCATGACTCTGCAGGGATTAGAGTATATGCACCACCATTGGGTCTTACACAGGGTAAGTGCACTAGTATGGAAACACACACATATTTGCAAACACACAGACATTCATTTACATTCTGCTACTTTGTATGTCCAGGATCTGAAGCCCAATAATCTGCTGCTAGATGGCAGCGGAGTGTTGAAGTTGGCTGATTTTGGTTTGGCCAAAGCGTTCGGCAGCCCCAACAGAGTCTACACACATCAAGTCGTCACCAGGTATGTGCTTTTTGCCAATTTTGTTCAATCAATAATGCAGAACGTGGACTTCTTTGCCTAGTCTCCTGTGTATTTGTGTCCACTGGAAATCTCCCACAGTAGCTCAACTACATCCATTAAGACATTAAATATGCTTGATTATATTGAGTTAAATATCTGTCAGTAGTAGATATGTGACTGGTTGAGACGTATGTTACAGCACACATACTAATAAATACAGAAATCTTGTCCTCTTCTCGTTGTTACATTATCTCAAAGTTTCCCAAGTATTTGAATTGACAGAATATTGTTCTAACTAGCAGAGTAGCATATTGGATGTCTGTTTTTAAGAGTTGTAAACTTTAACTTGTTGATCTTATTCCCAGGTGGTACCGCGCCCCTGAGCTTCTGTTTGGTGCCAGGATGTACGGAGTGGGTGTTGACATGTGGGCAGTGGGATGCATCTTGGCAGAGTTGCTCCTTCGGGTAAACAAAACACACATTTAGAAATATTCATACAGGTATTAGCATGCTGTTATTTCTGTATCCCCGCTAAGGTCTCTTTGTGTCTCCTTTGCTGTAGATACCGTTCCTCGCTGGAGACTCAGATCTCGACCAGCTGACTAAGATCTTTGAGGCTCTTGGCACGGCTACCGAGGAGTCGTGGCCTGTTAGTATCTGTTTTTACCAGTGAAGGATGTGTTATTATACTTGCATGTGAATCCTTGTGTAATTTGTTTGTAATTTATGTCCTCAGGGCGTGACTAGTCTGCCAGACTATGTGTCCTTCAAAATATTTCCTGGCACACCTCTGGAACATATATTCAGTGCAGCTGGAGATGACTTACTAGAGCTGCTTCAGGGCTTGTTCACCTTTAACCCCGCCACGAGGACCACAGCTACACAGGTAAACAAAGCAGAGCAAAGACAGTATTCTCACTTCCACATCTTTGGAGTAAGGGGTTAACTGTGGTCAATTGTGAACACAAATAAAAAATCTTAGCCTAAATATTCATGATGATCATTTCAAGTGTTTTTTCATTTGAGTGTTAAAAAAGAAAATCGTCATTAAGTATTTTGATAATCAATTAATGGCTAAAATCCTTTTTCTATGCAAAAATGGCAAAAACGTTGTCAGCCTTTCAAATATGTAGGTTTTCTCCTCTTTGTTTTACATCATATTAAACTTAATACCTTTGGGTGTTGGAGTGTCAAGTCAAAACGTTTAAAGACATACATTTGTAGATGGTATTTGGACATTGTAAAGCCCAAATGATTAATTGAGAAAAAAATATTGTCATACAAACAAGCTTAATTATGAAAAATGTTAGACATTGCAGCCAAAGTAATGCGTACCTATGATCTGATGATGTGTTCATACTGTTGTCTGTTTCTGTCCAGGCTCTGAAGACGATGTACTTCAATAATCGACCTGCACCCACTCCTGGACCCCTGCTCCCCCGACCCAACGGCTCAGCTGAGGCTCTGAGGGAGAAGGAGACAGTCGGGCTCAAGAGGAAAATTGAGGGCCTGGAGACAAGTAATTAATACATAGTTGCTTTTTATATACCCATGAAATGCCACCTTAACCTCGACTTACTCTAATGTCAAATGAAGCCTGTCAATATTATCATGGTAAAACTGTGAATGTTTTTAGATTAGATTCAACTGTATTGTCCTTGCACAGAGTACAATTACTCGCGTACAACGAAAGGCATCTTTTTTATTTATTTATTTTTGTGTCAGAAACAAAACATACAACAATAATATTAATATATATTTTTTTCCTTATTACATTACATTTAGCTGACGCTTTTATCCAAGCAATACAATAAGTGCATTCGACCAAGAAGATACAAACTTGAAGAAAACAGAATCATATAAGTACATCAGGTTTCATAGAGCCAAAACATTTGAAGTGCTACTCAACTGGCTTTAGATAAGCCAGTCTTTTGTTAGTATGTAAGTGCTTTGTTAGTATACAAGTGCTTTTTATTTTGTTTTTTGCTTTCTGTTTTTCATTTTATTGCTCGAAGTGGAGTTAAAAGAGATGAGTTTTCAATCTGCGCCGGAAGATGTGTAAGCTATCTGCTGTCCTGATTTCAATGGGGAGCTCATTCCACGAGACGCAGTCGGTTTTGCCGAGCGACGTGGGCGTGACGCTCCCCCTGGGTTCAAGGGTAGTCGTTTTTTTGTGCACCCAAAACGATAGGACCGA